TTACTCATTTTCTCACTCACCTAAGCAGTGCAGAAAGTGACTCATGATAGTATGTAACAACATAAACACAAGTACAATTAGAGCATGTCATGGCTATTGTGGAGTTATTATGTAAAGCAGCTGTGCTTATGCAACTGTGGTTTTTTGCTTTCTTGCCTTGCTGCATTCTTCCTTTCTTACTCTGTCTTTTCTCACTAAATCCAAGTTGTATTGCAGTTTGATCTGTTGCTTAGAAATCCTCTGTGATGCCTTTATACAAGGGGAAACTGCAGTATTTGTCACTAGGTGAGGGTTTCTGGTAATGCAGCTTTACTATTCTCCCCTTGCTCCAATAACATGCCCCTTAAATCTCCATGCCCACCTGGCAGCTCCTTTAAAATCCCTAAATATCTGTATCATTTTAGTATATGTTGCCCAAACGGTACTAGAAAAGCAAACCAATGTACATTTCTGTGCTTTTGCTTGGCCCTTATTTAACTTATACACCTCCATCGCTCGTTTATATCATGTGGAAGCCTGGGCTGTTATAGACGCAGTCATCAAAGAGTTGCTAAATAAATCAGATACAGGTATCTAGTCATCCAGTAAAACAGTAACATTGGACCATATTGATAAATATCGAGGCACTAATGGTAGATTAGAAGTTGGCTTTGATGGTTTTACACATCAAAGAGGTCCCACATCAGAATGTTGGATCATTTATTGCTCAACAAGCTATCCATTTTTTATATCTGTCATGATCCACGCAATCTCCTTGTGTCTTTTTTTTCTGCCTATATTTGGAGCTGTGCTGAATTTTGCATAGTTTTGACTTTTCCCTGGATACTGTCTTTTCATTAGAGGCTGGCTTTCCCTTAGGACTGAACTATATCAGTTGTCGGCAAGTCACAGGTTCAGTCTATCTCTGTGTGTGTTATTAGCGATGACCATGGCTGCACAAAGTCACCTGGTTCCAAAAATCCAAGTCGCCTGATACTATTTTAAGTCTCTTTTTCTCCATGCTAATTACAGTGTGTCACAGAAGCAGTGTATTAAATAGAATTTTGTAATATTGCCATTTTATGTAATAAACTAAGTGAGAGTAGATCATCAATGTGTTGTTGAAAGAAAATGGCAAGCTTTTATACTCAACCCCATTGACCAAGCCGTCGAACCGTCATTCACTACAATAACTTTCTTTTTTGTGCATTCTTTTTATTTTTGTTTACTGAAATGAAATATGTAATTTAATAAAAAACTATTCTTTAATCCAAAACATGGGTATAAAATGCAAATCATTAAGGGATGGTATTCTACAACTCTTAGCTGCATCTCACCTTCCATGAAATCATTTGTCTAACTTGGCAGCATGGTGTGGAGGAAGTTCAGCAATTTCATTTAAGTGTTGCATGGGGTAATTCCTAGAGTTGTCTGATGCTGGTGCCCTGGGAATGAAAATGGAGTCTTAGGTCTGTGAATGAAATATCTCTTTTGTTTCTGTTGGTACATTTCTCTTAGTTGTTATCTTGCTGGTATTAACCCCTGCCTCAGTCATGTCTTTTACAGACTCTAAAAGATCTTCCATGATTTGTTGGATTTGCTCCACCCATCGTCCCATTACCTTAGCTTCTTTTTCCCTGCTGAGCAAAAAAAGGCAACCCCACAGAATGATGCTGCCACCATCAATCCTCTCTGTGGATATGTTGTGCATTCTCTTTTTTCCGTCAGACATGAATTTGTATGTTGCGTATCTTGGCAGAGAGACCTTCTTCCTCATGTGTGCTGTGTGCCCTACACGTCTCTAAATGTTACTTTTTATGGCTGTCATTCAACAATGGTTTTGTTTTAACTAATCCATAAAGGCCAGATTTATGGAGAGAATGACTATATGTTGTTGTATCAGCAAACTCTTTCACCTGAGTTGTAGCTCTCTAAAGGTCCTCCATGCATATCACACATTTCATCTGTAGAATCCTAAAAAAGAATCCTCTTTTGTGCCATTTTTCCTGAAAAACCTGCAATAACGCTTGCTCTGCGAGACTTAAGTTGGGCCCAAATTTAATGCATCATTTATAGAGCTCTACCTCAGATTTCTTGCATGCAGTCTCTGTTGTTTCTGTATACACAAAGAAAAGCAACAATACAGCTCAGTCTGTGGGCCACAAGGCACATGTGTTTGTGTGCATCCAGGCAGACGGCAGAAAATGACTCCAGATTTTATCTTTCAGCATTTAAGTCTAGAACGCTCTGATTAAACACAACCACAGAATAATTTTCCTGTTGTAATGCCTTCAATTAAACCCCTGATTTTTAGTGCTGTGTCAAGTTATTTTACCATGGCAACACTGATTACATTGTTATCTGAATCTCTTTTTAATTTATTTTTGTAAAAGGAGGTTATTGAAAGAACATGTTGAAGCAAATGATTACTTTGTTTTTTTTGGTATATATGAATTGCTTATTTTTGAAAACATTTCTACACTTGTCGCTAAACATCACATCATGTCATATCCTATTTCCATGAGACAGTAATTGTAAGATATCATCTTTACCATTAACACCATCTGATCTGGTGCACATGTGTTTACGGTACAGTAACAGCTCCTTCAGTTGCAAACAGATGTGTGTTTATGTAACGGCAAGCGTCTGCCTTCGTACGTGCCCTGAGATCTTGGTTATTGCAAGCGATGCTACAAAGCATAGAGCGCCGCTTATGGCACGCATTTACAATTTATCAAATAAATGGGATCCCTTCATGTGGCCTGGGCCTGCCTCTCAGGCAGAGTGGAGTAGTTTTCCACTGGAATAACAGGCGCTAGAACAAGCAGACCATTGTAGCCACAGCCAGCACGGGGACCCCCAAGGTGCGAATTAATGATTGACCCCTGATGTAATCAGGATAAATAGCTCCCCGTAAAACAGAAGGATATGGGCCAGAGGAACGGCAAGAGAAAGAACAACATGAGGAGCCAGGGAGAGGAAGGTACTATCTGGCCTGGGCGCTTTTTAAAAATCCCACAGGGAGAGAAACCTAGCATCTCTTCCTGGGTCTTTGGAGACTCAGAAACAACAGACTGCTTTTTAAAAGCATGTCTGTCATCACTGGTTAAATTCTTTACCTTTTTTCATTGCTTATGTCTTTTCCCCGCGTACTTTCTTTCTTTACTTCTTTGTCTTCTGTGTTTAACACCAAAGAATGAAAAATAATGGATTACCTTAAAAGTCTAAATCAGTTATTAAAAGATTTACACCTTAAAGTTCCATTATTATAATATTTCTCCTTCTTTTACCACGGCATGTCTCATTCAACCTTTTGCAATTTTGATGTAGCAAACTGTACATTTTTTGTGCTCAGAGGCCCTAAAAGCCAAATGGTATTTAATAGATTTTCCAAGGCTTTTTCTCTGCTTGTCAAAATTGCTCTCAATGGGTCAAGTGCCAGTGAAATGTTTTGGGAATAAGGGGGGTTGGGGTGGGAGAAGTGTTTAACAGCATGAGAAGACTTTTGATTGTGTAAAGCGAGAGCAGTAGATGGGGCTGAGTTATAAAACTTTAATTGATCTGCGTAAAGTGTGGAAGCTACTGCTGGCTCACATATTCCAGCGTACCCTCTGAACCCCTCCAAAGTGGTGATCATTAACAAAAAGGGCTTCTTTCCATTCAAAATTGCTGAATGACGCAGAATCAGTCATAAACGGTTAGCTTTTATGGCCTTAGATTTATATGATAAGATTCACAGTTTTTATGTGAACATGCTGCATGTTTGCCAGGTGCTGAAGCACCCATGGCACATACTTCCAAGTTGTATCATTTTATATTGGAAACTAAAATGTCAGTTTTACAACTTTAACCGTCAAAATGAAGTAGGAAACTCTTCTATATGTGTTAAAGAAATAACTGGACAGTTGTTTCTCACTCAAATTTCTTTGAAACATTTAACATTGTTTTATCTTCCAGCATATTAAAAGATATATATTATCATATAAAATATGATATAAGTATCAATTTTGCCAACACAGTTTAACACTAAATAGCACCAGGTTTTACATTTAACAATGTAAAAGGCTATAGAGGATGAAAACATAGTTTTGTATGCTGAAACGAGTATAAATGCATAGAGGTTTGGGATCAAAGAAACAACTACTTTTGCAGTGGTGACAAAATTTATATTCATTTGATTTTATTAATGATGTGGCCTTTCATACTATGTTGACTTTTGTAACTATATCTAAGCAAAAGGGTTTTAATTAAATAATATATTGCAAAAATGGATTCAGATCTATAACTGTGCAGATGATTAAAACTGTCAAATTCAGGTAATATTGCAAAACAAGTTGGAAAAAAATGAATCACATAGAGACATTGGGGATGGATCAACATGACAGCAACATTTCATCAATAGAATAATCCAAAAATAAATAAATTGTGTCAAAGTGCCTCCATGGATGACTTTATTGTATGTTTGATTTAGTTTATCATCAGTTTTTTTTTTTTTTTTTAAGTCATGTACAACTTTATTTCAGATACAAACAAGAATCCAACATAATACTAGCTTTCATATCCATACACAGTTACTGGAAGGCAGCGGTATGCTATCTCATCTGACAGAAATGTCCTTAACAACATACTGAGTGAAAGGGGCTCCGACTTGAAATTAACAGTTAAGTGCATCCATGCACCTATAAAACTACATCATCCTTTCCACTTTGGTGCAGGCACAATCATGTTGTCAGTTCTTGGCTGTGACAATAATAATATTGGATTAGACAAATAAAGTCGTTGACAGACTCATTACAGAGGAGGGCTTCATCATGATTGCATAAACCATGAATTGGGCAAATATTGATTAAGACAAACTATTTTAAATGTTGCTCCTGTTCTTTTAAAAGTTTTGAATACCACTTACTTGAATATGGGCTACAGTATTTTTAATTATTTATTTTTTTTCGATTGCTAAACAGCTTTCACGTTTATGATGTTAAACACAAACTATCTGTGTTCTCTCTTTTTCTCCTAGATGACAGTGAGCCAGTTGACAGCATGTTTGACACAGAAGCTGACCTCCCTGGTTTAGCAGCTGGCAGCACCGACAGCCCAGAAGAAGACGCAGAAGACGGCATCATCAACATGTCCTCACTGCCCTCACCAACTCCTTCCCATCGAAACAACCACCACCACCATTTGCTGCACCCCCACATCTACACGTCACACCATCTCCACAACAGTAGCAGCAGCAATGACCAGGACTTCACCACACCGAAGGAGGGCTCTCCCTACGAGGCACCTGTCTACATTCCTGATGACATTCCCATTCCCAGCGAGCTGGAGGTGCGAGAGTCCTCTGTGCCCGGTGCTGGCCTGGGCATATGGGCCAAGACTCGTATTTGTGCTGGTGAGAGGTTTGGTTTGCACAGCACAAAGCATCATGGGTCCATGGACAAAGACAGCTCCTTTGGATGGGAGGTAGGAGTCGCAAAAGACTAAATGTTTATTGTCTATTTCAGTTCAATTCCCTGCATTACTGCTTTTACCTTAAAGGAATCCTGTGGAACAAATGCCAAAAAAAAAAGAACTCCAGCTGTAGTCAATAGATTTATTTAAACATAATCATCTCTCTATTTAGATTTTCTGCCATCACTCTTGGTTATCAACTGCATATATCTCATCATCAATGTAGAAGCTTGATGATCATTCCATTTACATTCCCTTTATGATCTGACCTTATCTTTGATCCCCCGCACACAGACACTCCTACACGTCTACATACACATAATAGACTCATCTGCAGCAGCACTACAATGTCAGATGGAAAAATCTGACTGATTAGTGGAGGTATCAGCTTTTATGCGCTTCGGTTTGAAGCGAGCACCCTCATTTGGTCACGCCATCTGATATGGAAATGGAAGAAGCATGGTCCAGTCCGGTGCCGGCATATTGAACTATTAATTTTCATTTCAACATGACATTAGAGGATATTGAAGTTGCTTCAGTAAGCTCATTGGGGGCGGAACGGAACTGCTGGTCCCTGTCTTTCTTTCTCATGAGCCTAATAAGGGATGAAATCTTCTGGCCTGCTTTTCATTTTTACAAACTCCATCACTGTTCACTCTTACATGGCTAATATTACCTTTGTTGAGAGCAAGGACCCTAATCTTAGATGACCTGTTGCAGTTCTTTATAGCAAAGAGATATACATGTTTGAATGATTTTCTAGTTTGCTGCCTTCAAAACTAAGGCCAATGCATGACATGTTATTTAGTGGTTACTTGGCATTTATTGATGCTTTCATGAAGTGGATAAAGAAGGGTCTAAGTAAAAAGGCAAAGGAATGAGCTGTATGGCAAGACCTATAAATAATGACCACAGAAATTAACCATATATGGCAAGACCTATAAAATATGATTTAAAAAAAGCAAAATAATGAAACAATAAAACCAAACACTCCAGGATCAGGATAGGTATGCCTTGTAAATGCTTTAAATTAAGCCTTTTGTTTTAACAATAGCTTTATTTATATCATATTATATACTCATTATACTCAAAATTTGGGTTAATTCTTACATTTCTGCAATTTGCTTCTGTGAAGTGATTACTGTTAGAGAATTTCAACAAAGACGTAGTTTTGCCTAGACTTCTTAACATCTGATTTATCTAAATGCTACATACCATCGTGTACAAATCTTGGAGTTTATTTTAAATATTACTGTGATCAAAACTTACACTATATGCTTTGGTCAGTTAAGAATAAGATTCAGCTTTATGTCAATAAAAATCCCTTTTGAGGTTGCTGTAAAACAATGATAAATATATTGAAACATTTTAGGCATGGTGAAGAATCTTTGGAGCCATTTTTTCTCCAAAAGCCTTCAGAAGCTTGTTAGATCAAAGCATCATAAAACATCATATAACACTGTTCACATTTTCTACTATTGTTTTTCTTAAAATTCTAGATAATTTAGTTTAAACTTTTGAGGACTGCTGTTAAAGAAAAAAAAAATATATGGGTCATGACTGGATCTTTTAACACCACAGTGATCAAAAATGTTAGGTCAAAGAAACAACCAAAAATGTTTCACCAGGGATAAAACCCTCCTCTGCCTTGGTCAAGTTCATTCCTATGACCTAAACTGGAAGCGCTGAAGAGAAGAATACATGGTAGGACCGAGAACTCTCTGAACTTTGTCTCAGATTTGGCATCCAGACAATGTTTTCAATGTTAATCAAGAAGACTTAGTGGTGTGCTATTTTTGTGGTATACATACTTTCATATAAAATATAATTTCTGACCTTTGCATTTTTGTATATTTTTCATCCATTGATAAATGCAATTAAATTAAAGGTTGACTTTTATGTCTGTGGGTTTTTGTTAATCTTTAAGAGGGTTGGCAATAAATGTGGAGGGTGCTAATTATAGATTAAATCGCATTATATTACATATTTTTACTCTAAATAAAATGTAATGATTGTTTAAACAGTGCAACTTCAGTATATCTGTGAAATTTTACTTAAAGAGTTTGTGACACTAGAATTTTTCCCCATTACAGGTCATAACAGTATTATAGTTTTAAATAATTTTCCACAAACCTCCAATTGACAGGGTTAAAGAAAACCAGAGAGGGTCATTTTCATAGTTTCAATTCCAATAACTTTTCTTTTCACGTTTTACACCATTTTCTTCCCACCAGTTGTAGCAGTATGCCGGCAATTAAAGTACACAGGCTCAAGCTAAGTGGATGCATGCCAGGTGTAACATTTTCTTTTTTAAATTTGAAATCATGGTTTGCCATTTGGTGTGCATAGGGCTTATTTCCAAAAGCTACACCTTCCCCTTAGCTCTCATGTTCTCTCTCAGTTTTCTTCCTCCTTTCCATCTCTCTCCAGACAGCCAACTAATGCATATTCATTAGCAATGCTTTCACTCTTCAGCTTCCGGAAATATGGGAAACTTGAGCTTCAGACATAAAATAGCACATGTGTGAGGACATAAATACTTGTAAACTTCAACAGAGGAAAGTTTTTAGTCAAATTTGTTCCTAAAACAGCTGGTTTTACAGGACTTGAGGCGTTTCAACTCTTTATACATGTATATACCAAAGAACTCAGTAGCCATGAAATACAGTAGGTCATATATAAACACCAATGGGAATATTGTGATTGGCTCATTCGGAATCAAACTGTATTTCAAATGATAGGGGTGGTTTATGCTGATCAATAGTTTTAAAAGCATTCATAAACAATAGTTCCATTTATGTGCTTAAAATTTGGACCAGGTGACCAGACTGGTGACCAGACTGTGCAGATGTCTGGAACTTTTGGAAGCCACCCTGGGTAGCAAAGAACTTTTAGGGACGTTCATTTCATCCCCCTCTTTCATTATGCCACACAGGAACAGCAATAGCATGTCTTGTTGGCAATGTGGCTTATGTAATGAAAGCAATAATGCCTCAATTTATCAAAGAACCTGTAAAAGTTCCACTGTGGACACTTTAAACAGTCAGGACTTAACTTCAGCCCTTTTTTTTACCCTTCTTTTATTGTTGAAAATAAATTTGAAAACTCTGCACAATAAAGTGTTTCTATTACAATAAAAGCCTGTTGCAAGTAAAAGATATCATGATTGATAATTTGATTTTCGGCACATACTGTATGGATAGGGAATTTGATTATAATTTTTTATTTCCAGTCAAAACACATTTGAAACCAATCAAGTAATTGTGTGTGTAAACATAGGCATTAAATTTTAAGGAACATTTAGTCTCTTTTAGGGTATTCAATTTACATCTGGCCAATCTCTAATCCAAATTACAGAGGTGTGTGTTTCTCTAACTTTATTGTCAAAAACCAATAAGAGAAGTGCATTTGAGTGTTCAAAGATGACATTCAGCAAATGATATTTCAACATTTTAAGGGCTTAAATAGCAGCTGGTATGCATTATTTTTCTGATTAATACACATCTAAGCTATGGGTACATCTTACTTTCTCTTTTCTTTCAGGTCCATCATTGGGAGAAACTGATCTGTATTTTCTTTTTTTAAACGGTATTAGATGGACTGATTTTGGCTAGGCTTCTATTTTTTACATGTCCTGTCTGGTTTTAGGGCTGGAAACCTTCAGAGAATCTCCTCTCTCAGACTCTTATCACAAATAGTCATAACAGAGGGGCTGTTGATAGTCATCAAGAGACTCCCTCAGGACTCCCTTAGACCCCATTTCTCTTCTCTTTCACCATCAGCTCCTCTACTCATTTACTGCCTCTGGTCTTAGATAAATAGACAAACGAGAGAGTGACTTGTGAATTTTGCTTAAGTAAAGAATAAAGTACAAGATACGACGACAACAGAGGGTGAAAATATTGTATGAAAACATACGTTTTTTTTGGACATAACATGTTTTTCAGCCTCGGACAAAATCTATAAATGTATTATGAGAAATAATATGATAAAGTCTAGGATTATTGTGGTGTTAATCAGATGCTTTTGAAGTATTACTTTCTATTAATAGATTCCTTTAAGACACTTCCCTTTGTTTGTATTTATGTGAGAAACATTTAATTTTGTAACTGATAACTTATTTGAGATTAAATGGATGATCTGAAAGGAAAATATATTGGCTACATTTACAGGACACTTCATTAAGTAAACTTGTTGCTGAGTAGCAACCCGAGCAAACTCTCCAATGGCACGGGATGAACTCAGTACATTTTGGAATCTAGATGTTGCGAAGACTACTTGAAGTTAGAGTGGAATTCTCATTTCCTAGTAAGAGTCAAGCATATTGGAGATTTATGTCAATTTGATGGCATTGAGTGTTTAAAAAACTAGTTTTCTGATCTAGTGAAATTTTACCACAATCGTTCTTTGATTTACAGCATGGTCCAAAAACATAAAAGATCCTGTGAGCAGCAGATGTATCTATGAAAATGAAAATCTATAGATCAGACGATCATGGTGCCAAAAAGGTGCAGCAGAGATTTTTTTGGTCCACTTTGGGTTCCTAGGCAGCAGCTGAGCAATGTTTCAATGCCACCGCCTACCTAGGAGCTTTAAAGGACCACATCAATACCTCCATGAAAACACTGATACAGTAACTGCTTACTGCAGGATATGGCACAATGTCACAAAGCCCAAATAATCAATGAACATGACAATGAGAACACTGACACGCACAGTCACAAATTCTCACTCTAATACAGAACATTTGGGATTTGTTGGAAAGGGAGATTTGCATCAAGGAAAGGATTGTTATTAAATCTGCACCACAGAGATTTGACTAATCTCCCAGGGCAAACAGGGGTCTAACACAGTACCAGTTAGGTGTACCCAGTAAGGTGCTTAGAATGTGTATATGGTCAAAGAGACAGGTCAGAGTTTATATAAACCACTAACATGTTTGCAGTAACCTACATTGTGGTCTTAATCTGGCCTTCAGATTAATCCATGGAGCTAAACAAAATGTTTAGTAC